CTAATATCTCCATCTTTATCATGTTGGAAGCCGCTCTTACCAGCTTTGCAATACTAACTGTTAAATATTAAAATATCTCGCAAGCTGGTTGTCAGACCACTGGGAATTTGAACTTAGCCATCGAGAAAGTATTTACACTGTGGAAATTGGCTAATGCTGTAAGCAGAACTTACTTTTCTCCTTGAGGTCCCATATACAGTTGTACCACTAGAATTCAAAAATTCTAACCCTATACTACCTAGAAAAAAATAGCAAGAAAGGCAAGATTCACTGATCCCTTATTTCAAAAAAGACTGAAGCAATCCCATTGTGAAACTTCTACCTTTTTAAAAATCAGTTACTCAGCATCAGGAGGTCGAGAGATAATCTCACTGCTGGAATCACAGGCTGTTCAGGTCAGGACTGGTGAAGGGCAGGGCTGAGGAAAGAAATAAACAGAAGCCTTGCCCTTCTTGGGATGTCGCTGAAGGAATGTTGGGTATTGGGCCTTGATTGCCCTGAGGATATCTTCTACCAAGCCAGGCAGAACTGAGACTATGTATGAGTCATGTCATAGAGTACAGTAATTCATTGTACCTTCATATGTATAACGAACTTTATGCAAATGAGGAAACACCTTATGTGTGCTCCAGATATATTTTTTTGTCTTTTTTAGAACACACTGTACCAGAAAATATGAAAAAAATAAAAAATTATTTAGAACCAATTCTTCATACTTCTGTGTATAATCCCTCAGGTCTCAATTTGAGTATAAAGGTAAGTTGGTAGAACTTCTTATCGTGCTAAATTTAGATTAAACATATATGTCTAAGCTACAATGTTATTTTTACAGTATAAATATCTATGAGTAGGGGAATAGCAACTTTACAGTATATGAAAGGGCTGGTGATACAGTTCAGAGGAGTGTGTGCTTAGCACGCATGAGGCTCAGCTCAATCTCGGAACCAAAAAATAAATAAAAATAAAGTATATGGAGAATGTCCACTTTTCTTCCAATTCCCTGGATGTTATTACTTCTAAGGGGAGCTGAAGCTAAAGTTAACATTAATTTACTATATTTCAAACTGTTAGAAAAGATAGATTATCTACAGTGGAGCAAAAAGACTTTATAAGTTAGGGGAAAGAAATGGGCTCAGTATTCTTCATGGGATGTACATGAAATATGTCTCCTCGTCCCATCTAGCCATAAAAACACATTAAGTTGATATAATCCAGGTAATATGTAAACCGTTGAAATTGAGGATAGATTTTTTTGACCAATTTTGCATTCTTATGTCTGGTAATCTGACCAACTAACTTGAAGACAACAATATGCAGTATAACAATCATCTTTGAACTCCTGTCATTTTGTTGAGTGAAATTCTGGATCATTTCTAAAGTTTTGTGGGGGGTTTTGTTTCTGTTTTTTTAAATATTTTTTATTCTCTTTAAAAATAAAAATAGGAGATAGATCAAAGCTACAAAAATTAAAGGTTAGCCCAAAATACCCATCAAGGCCAAGTGAGGTTTTATATTTTTGTTTCTTCTTTATTCTAGAAAAACCATCATTTGTCTTTTTCAATCTCTCTTTTTAAT